ACTTCACCTGTTGCCTACTGGTGGTGGTCAGAGGGCCCAGTGGCGCCAGTGTCCGGCAGCCTCACCTCTGTCAGTGCGCCCCAGAGCAGCTGTGGCTACAATGTAGCTGCCATCACCAGTGTGTGGATGACTGGATGTGTAAAGCGCTTTGGGGTCCTTAGGGACTAGTAAAGCGCTATATAAATACAGGCCATTTACCATAACTGTGCAACTCTTATGGTGCAAATGCTATTTTTAGATCGCTCCATGTTCGGGTACAAGCACTTGTGCATTTATGACAGGCTTGGATCTCCTCTGATGTGTTACAGCACTGACCCTTTGGGAGAGGAGAAAGTCATAAGGACTCAGATCTGGTAATTAGGGTTTGAGGAGTGGCCACAAGAGCAGTCATCACAGTTCAGGCTGTTTCTCTGTCTCTCTGTGCAAGTTTAAGGTCCACGGTGACTTTGCGAACACACAAGAGCAAGCTCACAAGGTCGAAAGGAAGACCTCCACAGAGCAATCAAAAAATACCAGCTGCACGGGGAGCAGTGCTTCAAATCACACCTTGCCTTTATGTACCTACAATAAGTGTTGGGGAGTAACAGAATACATGTACCGCCGTTACGTATTTAAAATACAAAATATGAGTAACTGTATTCCGTTACAGTTACCGTTTAAAAAGGTGGTATTCAGAATACAGTTACTTTGTTGAAATAAACGGATTACACGGCGGTATTTTCCTGTTTCATATTGTCGCGGGTCAGGACTGTTTGGGTTTTGTTTATTCTGTTGTTCCAGGCGGCAGCGTTACGGTTGCCATGGTTACAGGGTAACGCTCTCTTTGTGTGTTTCCTGGTGAGCGAGCGCCTTTTTGTTGTTTTTGTTGTGCTAAGCTAACAGGCAGAATGCTACAGGCATAGCCCTAAAGCATGTAGCCTGATGGGCAGTGTAGTCCGTGCTGCAGGGGGAATGGACTGCCATACACGTTATGGGTCTGTGAGCGCGAGGAGGGAGAAGAAGGAGAGTGGAAAAGCTGTCACCGAGCAGAAACGGGAGCTGGAAGCATGTAAATATAATAATAACCACTTCAGCCAAGAAGAGTGCCTGACGAGCCCAGCTGTAAGTAAGCTATTAAGACTCGACTGTACACCGTGTTCGTGTTTTCCTCCGAAACAATAAGTTCCACTGAAGCAGCCTTTCAACGCCTCTCTCTGTCTAAAACTTGACCCAGACAACAAAGTAAAGCTAGTTTTCGGCTACGAGCCCGACACAAACTCTACGTATTAGTCAGGGGTCCCTTTACTACGGTTCGGCGCCGCGGACCTTCAGTAATCGTAATAAATCACACAGCAATAGGACATTCATGTAGTTGTAAACAGCATGATAATATATTAAGTAATCCAAAGTATTCAGAATACGTTACTCTCATTGAGTAACGTAACAGAATACGTTACAAAATAAATTTTGGGGCATGTAATCTGTAATCTGTAGTGGAATACATTTTAAAACTAATCTTCCCAACACTGCCTACAATATGTTCTTTGATAAAAGATCAATTTATTATCTTTAGTCCAAAAGCTGCTGTTGGCATCATTTGTATACGAGGCATGAAGCTCAACTCTTGTTCGGTGTTTTTCGACATGATCAAAGATGCATTGTTGAATCATATGAAGGTTTCTTGCATCCACTTGCGTTTTTGTGCTTTCTGTCAAAGTGTCACAATTACAAACATCCTGCAGAAATGACATTGATTTCAGAATCACATTGAAAGTTTTTACATAATACAAAGCAGAGATACATGCACACCCACAGCAGGAGACAGAAGGATGAAAGAGTGGTTATCAGTGGGACTGGAGCTGAGCTGTTAGCTCCTAGTGGTATACTGCTTGATAGACGAGATCAGCTGAGGACAGAGAGAAACACATTACACGGACAAAGGGGAGCAATCAGAGGAGAAAAATTAAGTAATGTTTCTTGCCGGGTTTTTTCTACCAGAAACTTCCTCTCTTATCTCCCTAAAGCACATTCTTTCTCTGTCTCTCCTTTTCTCCTTCACTCTATTCAGCCACCTAGTCCACAATCCATCTTTACTTTACGCTATCTCTCCTTCACATGCCTTAGCCAAACAGAAACAGGCAGAGAAGGTGGATGAATTATGAGTGGACGAGGGAATTTCAGCCCACTCCGGCACATAACAGAACAGAGAGACAAACGGCAGGACTACGTGAATTAAAGATGACAGGAACCCTGCCGCTGCTTGCTAGCTGGACGCTGCAGATGGAGTTCAATGCAGCTGAATAGTCTGAACCTCCGGAGCATGCAGAGGGAAAAACATGAAAGCGGCAGATGGATTTGTTTACTTGTAGATGGAACTGCCATCCTCTTTCTAGGAATGAGCGCAGACATGCAAACACATGCCTGAGTGAACGCATACACCTAAATGTCCTTACGTCCCACAACATCCTCCCAAAGGTGTGAGATGTCAGACACAATCATACAAATCTCAGATGACCTGATAACCCACACTGCTGCCTCAGGGCATCGAGACAAACACTCCTAGTTACACTAACTCCTAGAAAGAGTTTCACAAAACTTTGCACTGGCTGGAAACACTGTTACACCAGGAATCAATACGGCGTGGTAATTGCAAGTGCGTGTGTACGAGGGAAGGCTGCGTGCAGCCTTTCAATGTCTGCATCAGTGCAGCTGTGCTTACCTGAGGTGAATATCAAGCAGGAAAACTTCATTTACCATTTACATAAAAATGCTACTGTAATACTACACATCAGAAATGTTATGCTATTCAATCTCTGCTTGCTTTTAAATCCTGCTGCATTTCTCATTCGTTTCTGCTGGACCTTTCACTGTCATCACTGCATAGAAAATAAAGCTACAGCAGCAACTGAAGCCACTGCATATTTCCACTTAGGACAATAGTAATAGGTTTGATCTATCACATGCTCTAAAAGGTCCATATCGAATGCATAGCAGCAGACCAGGAGACTCGATCCACTCCCGAGCCAAAGCTCTTGTCCATCTGTGTTCCTATGACTCTCACTAACTACTGGACTCCTCTTGGCAGGACTCTCAAAATCCTCTCTTCAGCCTTTACAACTCATCAAGTATTCTGCTGTCAGCCTTCTCCAGTAACACCACCCCCTCCCTGCACTCGATCTTTTGGCTGCCTGTGACTGCTCGTATCAAAATCAATACAGAGATGCTGCTGTACACTTCTTGAGGAGTTTCCATTGAACAGGTGTGTCAACTTACATACATACGTACATATGTACTGTCTTGAGCCTGATACTCGGTTAAAGTTGCTTTATTGTACACCTGAACCTGATATGCAGGGATTATTTTGAACTGTAATTGGACTGGTACTCATGTAGTGCCATAGTGGAGCTTTCTATTACAAGTCTCATTCACCCAGTCACACATACATCCATGCAGAACTTTGCCTAAGAACTTTCTAACACAGGGGGCAACTCTGATTTCACCAACTTGCCCAAGGATACTTTGGATGTGGGCTGGAAGAGCCAGAGATCGATGCACTGTCCTTCTAATTGGTAGGCAACCTGCCCTACCACCTGAGCCACAGCTGCCCAGTTGTGAATTGTACTGAGCTGCTCTAGAATAAGAATGTGGAGCTGGGAACGAGCCTGACAGGTCTACTTCAAGGACACCCGGCGTATGAAAAATGATCAAGTCCTGAATGGGGGACATGCTGCTGTCAGACGTTAGTCATGAGCCAACATGAGACAAAAGAGTAAATGTGTGCATAATTCAGAGAGCGCTGTATCAGTTTCAGTGGATGGGCTATTCTGTGTGCAGTGGTAGTGCATATATGTGTTTTTTACAGCGTGTCTGTTGATGCACGCGTGTGTGAGTCCGTCTACGTTGTCACATACAGTACGCTCATTTCATTATTCAGATACTGGACAGGCCTCAGTGAGCAGCTCCGGCTTAATTATTCTGTGCTGCTACGGGTAGACAGATCACACACCGACACTGCAGCGTCCCCCCAGAATATTGAGGAGGATAAGATGACAGCGAGTTTTATAGTTTAGAATTTTCACTTTTGCAACATCAGCATTTGTCTAAGATGTTCTCGCTCTTGTTTTTTGTTGTCCTTCAATCCAGAGTGGAGTGATATAAAAACAGTTAAAAGCAATTATTCATAAACATGCAATTATGTGTGCACAGACCCCGACTTGCAAAGGGCCAGCGTATAGCCTGGGTTTGGGGATCATCTGGACTTTATAATGGAATCTATCACCACCACTAATCTCCACACCTGAGCTGCAGCAATGGCAAAATGTTTATTAACCAAATATCTCCATTAAACACATTTAATGTTAGTTTCCAGGAAATAAAGGAAGTGCTAGTGATTATGTCTTGATGAGCCTTCATTCTAAGCAGTCACGATCACTCACATGATAAATCGCTTTAGGACTCTCTCTACAAAATTGTCATTTATGGCTCTTTTGTACTAATCTGACTTGGTTTCTGAATCTTCTGCTGCTAATAGCTACGCTTGCAGCAGGCCAACACACGCTTGGTCACCAGTGTTGATTTCACTGGCCAGTCATTTTCCTCAACGACCAAAAATAACAGGATGAAATGTACTGACCCTTTTGTGAGTGAATAAAAATGAGATGAAAATATTCTGGAGAGACGAGATCCAATCAGAACTAATTAAGTTCTGCAGGAGACAGGAACTAGCATCCATGCTCCCTGTCTCACGACAACGTGATAAAATATCAATGCATGGGAGGAAGAGTGGAAATATGGGCACATTTCACATTCAATGTCAAGGAAAAACACAAGAAACCTTTACACTTTCCATTTTTGTCAGCTGATTCAACTTTAGATCTGGTGTACTGTACTCTTACCATATTTAGTTGACTAAAACTACACTAAAACTAAAAGAATTTAGATGCCTACATCATGACTAAAACCCAAAGACTATGACTGAACCTAAATCAAAATGGTCACAATCAGCACTGTTGGCCACTCACCCTGTCCTCTTCCTCTCTGAGGTCTGGCATCGTGCTGATACATAAACTGACAACAGTCACGGCAACCATGATCACCGACAGGCAGGCAAAGATCTTCCCAGGTAAGCCTGACTGTGGGTTTTCTACCATATCTCTTAGCCAGTTCATCACTTTTCTGTATTGTGTTTCCTCCACTGTCTCCCGCTGCATGGCGTTTTTCTGCCTGCGCTCCTGCCGACGCCTCTCTTTCTCGTGCACTTCCTCGATGCGCGTGTACATCTTCCTCTTGCAGCAGCGCTCCATGTACGCCATCTCCACGCCCCAGTAGGTCAGCTCATCGTGCAGGGAGAGGATGCACATCTCTCGTAGCAGTCGGAGTTTCCCTGCAGCCAAGAAGTTGAGGATAACCCTAAAGGCGGATGGTGAGCGGTCGAAGAAGAACTCCTTGCGGGCTTCATCGTAGTCGTCACAGATGCTGGCGATGTCCTCAGGTGACCTGCAGCCACAGAGGCGGCCAAGTCGTGTGAGGGGAAATTGCTCCAGTGTGCTCCAGGGGAAGGTGTAGCGGTTTCCCCCGACATTGATCACTGCCAAGGAAGCATGGTCGATGGACAAGAGGTCCTCTGGCCGACGGATGAACTGAGCTCTTTGGTAGTACACACCCTATAGCACGAAGAATGAAACGGTGATCATTGTTATACGATTTGAGAACTTGTTTAATATAAATCTTCCCTAACCATTAAATTTACCAGCAATCGTGTTCATACCTTGATAGTCTCAGTCTCTGGGATCTCAGTGAATATGTGGTCAAGACTGCTGTCATCACTGACGGACAGATTGCTGAAGTCATGGTTGGCATTGCTGATGATGGGCATGGCAGCATTCACAGAGCACTGTGCTTCGATTGGAGAGTGGACAGCTCAGACCAGATAGCAAATACAGAGAGAGTCTGCAGACAGTGCCCTCTGAAACTTTTCAGTCTCAATAAACATCAGTTTTTCTGATTTACAGATCTGAAAAAGTTTTCCTGCTACTGTAGGAAAACAGAAGAAAGAAAAGGTGCAGTGCTGTTTTCCTTTTTTTGGTCCCCAACCAACAGAGCGTCATGAGGTAAGAGGTCCACAGCAGACTGAGTCTGTGTACCAGACTTCAACATCAAATCAGTGGGTAATCCTGTTCTGAAGCCAGTCTAGCAAAGGCAAGCCTGAATAAGAGGACTGATCACTGGCTGATAGCTGCAGAGAATGAGCTGCATGAGGTAAGGAGCCAAATTTGCAGTGCTGGGGTGTTTGGGGAACTGAGGAAGATCCTCTGTGTCACCACAACAGGATTAGGGAGGGTCTAAACCCGTGGTGGCATCATGCAGGCAACTGAAAGAGAGACAGAGAGAGAACTGTTAGAACGAAGCAAGGATGGACTGAGATTAAGGCATATACGACAACACAGAGCAAGAATAGGAAAGACTGAGGACAGACCCAAGACTGAGAAACCTAAAGGAGACTGCAGTGCTAGAAGCTCCTCCCTCCTCTTTCACTTCTTTTCAATGAGAAAGAAGACAGTCACACTTGCTGTACTGCTATAAATGGCCCGTTGCTGAATGCATAGGCGAGGAATTTTTTGCTCATGTTCACATTGAGAGAAAAATGATCTGTTAAGAATGAAAGACTAACAGAAGAAAAGAACGTTCAGGTTCACGGTATGATTCACACTCAGAGTACGTTACTGGCCGTGTGCTTCAGTGTCTGTTGCACAGCGCAAGGTCCAAAATGTTTGCCGTTGGCAAAACAACTTCCCTGAAACTTACTGGCACTGTTAGCTGTTAAAGTTGCCCAGAATGGTGAGTTGTGTCAGAGCTTTAAAGAGTTATAGTTAATACTCTGATTTCAATGTGAGCCCTCTTATTGTGTTATTTGACATTTAATTGAATTCAACAAACACTCAGATAATCCTCTGTAGTTTGTTTTTGTATCCTGTTACTAACAATACAGCTGCCTTATATTTGGCTGTCCTCCACTTTTCTCTTGGCAGCTTTTGGTGTGAATAAAATGCTACAGTGACATTTCTTCAAATGTCCCAACAGTTTAGATAATCCTAATTTAAATTTCACAGTTTTCTACCCAGGACCACCAACACTAACACTGCAGTATTGTCATTGTTCTGCTTAGTATTCATGTAAAGTACATACAGGCTTATTGAATGCGTGAATGACACTTGGACGAACCGGATCGTACCCAAGTGCTTCGGTGCTTCAGATGCAGGAGGATAAGATCCTGTTATTGAGGAACCAATAAATCAGTTCTGTCAAGGTGCTGGTATTTCATTTCCACCGCACAGGAAGAGGAGAGAATGATAAACTGTAGTTAACTGATCTGTAGTCCTAATGGAAGTTCCCTCTTTTTTCCTACTGTAAAGTTAATTGAAGGAAGCGCTTACACTGTTACTATCAGCTAATTTTGGTGCAACAATAGACACAAATCCAATAGGTTAGATGGTCAGTCAGTTAAAATGAAATTCCTATTGTTGTGCATTTTCTTTAGAATTCAGTAAGCGGAGTTTTATTGAACATTGTGACATTTAGGAATCCTCCAATTAACTTATGAAACTGACTAAAAGTTAAAGTTGTATTAAAATGAGAATACGTACAATTCTGTTTTGTTTTTTAGATTCTTGACTCTGGGAGTTTTCTATTAAGTGGCTGTGCTGCATGCAGCATTCATTCAGGGAGCTTATGTTATTATATTCATAGTCAGTCAACAGTGACTGCGTTTGTCAGGAGCTGCTGGAGAGGCAGGGATGCTTTATGTTCAGCAGGAAAATCTCTCTCTCTGTCTCTCTCTCCCCAACTTGCAAAAGCACACACTGGGAAACATTTTTACGCCCTTATCTCGAATAGATATCCAATTAAACTCGGTTAAATCTGTCGCGTAATTACGATCATATAACCAACTCTCGTTTGGAGGATTTTTGCAGAAAAGAAAATAATAATAATAATAATAATAATAATAATAATAATAATAATAATAATAATAATAATAATAATAATAATAATACGACCCCGAAAGTCAAATGTGGTTTGAAGGACATTTTAAAGACCGTAATCTTACAATTGATTCGAAACAACTTCATATTTTGGATACACTTAGTTCCAAATAAAACTCTCAAACACAAAGTGTGATCATTTGTCCTCCTCTGTGTTACAGTGTTAGCGAGATAAAAAGAGACTTGTATTTCATTACAACTTCAGACAAATATAAAAACTACAAACAAAACCCCTGCAGACGTCGATACAACTTATGAGCACACCTTACCGTCCTCAGCCCCGCGCTCATTTCAGACGGCCGGATCGATTTTGAGTAAAATCCCTCAATGTCGCCTCTCAATTCCTCCGATCATTCAACGCCACGTCAGGGAGTCAGCGGTCATCACCAGCCACCACATGTCACAATCACAGGGACGCCTTTCCGGCGTCATCCACTCCGATGGAAGGCGCGCAGACAGTCTGAACATACCGTTGATGGGAAGCGAGTAAAGGTTTGGAGCACTGAAAGTGTCCCGTTACAGCTCACGGAGCGGTGCTGCAGGAGGAGGAGGAGGAGGAGGAGGAAGAGCACGGGAGGAGGGAGTCGGCGCTGTGGTGCGCAACAGAGAAGACCGTGGATAGCTTACCCAAGTTCAAGTGTGCGTAAAGGTGACAGCAGGTACACAAGTGACCGGGAAAAGGCGACTGTGTGCAAGTTCCAGAATACACAAAGGGGGCATTTCAGCAGAAATGCGGGCATCGGGTGGCTTTTGTTGTCCGCTACCTTTTACACAGTGTGTAATTCAAGGACACTGAGGAGATGCTATCCTCCATGTTTCCTACCCTGACCGCTTCACGCGCAACAGGGGGCGCGGTTCTCCCCGGAATTACCTTCACCAACACATCTGAACTCGAGCTCCAATTCAGACTCAAATTTTGCAGTCAGCTTGTGTTTTATGTGTAAATAAGACCAAACTAGTGGCTTTAAAGAAAACACAGCAAGACAGAAAATTTCACGTTACCTGATTTATCAAAAAACACAAACATCTCTGTGCTGTTCTGATGAGGTGAGCCTGTTTGCTGCAAATTGGACGGTCGACGAAGAAGGTGCTGTCAGAATGAAATTGATTTTTTATAAATATTTTACTTGAACTAATCTTATAATTCAATAACTGATGGTCTTATTGCTTCCTATAGTTTACTGCTGTTTACTACTGGAAGATATGGGCTATGTAAAAAAGAAGAGTCATTGTAGGTTGAACCAGATGTTTGAATTACTATTTAAAGCCACACATAAAAGAGGAAAACTCGCCGGTGGGAAGGACAGTAATAAATCTTAGTAACACTGAACAGCTGGACAAACTTTGGACTGCGTCACAAGTACATAAATAGATGTGAGAGTTTAAAACTGCCTTTGAAAAGTGTAACTGTTCCAACAAAACTCATGCAGTATAATTCAGACAAGGTGAGAGTTCAGAGAATAAAATATCATCAGACTTGTTTGCATCTCCAGCCTCAAAGTTTGTCCTTGAGAAGCAGCTCATTGGGTTGTGTGTGCCTGAGGGAGCTGCTAAAACAAGCAAACACTTTGGCCAGTCCTTTATGCCATCTAACAGAGCAGACAACACATTAGTGAGGCAAGAGATGGAAACTGACGAGGTAGGCAGGTGGTGCTCTGTGTGTGTGTGAGAGACATTCAGCTTATTTAATCCCTCCATCACTACTCATTAACCTACAGCACAGGAGGGCTGGTTAGTGTATGCAACATGACACTGATCACACATGCTGGGCTAATAGTTCTGTGTTTTCTGTTTTGGTTGTTTTTATTCCTGCACAGCTGAACAGATTAGGCACCGCACTGTGACTGTAATGCAATATAACCTTTTAATGCTGTGTGTCACTTTCTTTTGCTTTATCACACACGTGAAGACAGAGAGAGAGAATCACTCGCACACCCACATGGACACATGGAGTGTTTTCAGTCTCAATTTTAGCACAGGTGGTAGACAGGGAACACCCAAGCCTCTAACATTAAACCAGCTAACATCTTTATCTGCTGCACTACCCCCTTGTATCAACTCATTCTTCCCTCAGGTCACTGTTATTTTTTTAATCTCTCACACACACACACCTGCAGCTGTCCACCATCCGTCTCACAAACGCCGCAGTGCTAACACAGACATGCACACATGCATGAGAAAACACAATGAATACCACAGCCCTGCTGGTACTAATAGCAAGCTTCAGTCTGGCGGATTAAGACTTTAATCCTTCACAGGCAAGCAGGGTTGAGATGAGATCGCTGCAGCCAGCATCCAGGGGTCTGATCAGCAACGGCATGAGGTGCGTGCAGGAGAGAAGCAATGAGTCACTGGGCTATTTCAAAAATAAATAAATAAATAAATGTTTGAACAGATGCTTTCACACTGATGGCTACCTGGAGGTCCCACACGATGGAGTTGTCAAACTTTTCCACCCTAAAAGCTGTCTCTGTTCTCTGTCTCTGCTCTGATTTTACAGTCTTTCTTCTCTTTCTTCTCTCGGTGATTCTCCAACCAACTTCCCCCGCTGATATTTGTTTGATCTCAGTTCTACCGAGTTTTGATCAGGTTAACTGAAGGTGGGAAAAGACAGAATGCCTCTATGCACACAGGATAAAGACCAGTGAGGGGGGGCTAAGAGAACTGAGAGTAAAAATAGTCTCAAAATGATTAAATAAAGGAGAAGCATGAAGGAAGCCATTTGGTGGAGATGTCATCTGAATTTCAGGAGCGGGACCACTCCTCCTCCACGCCCCCTCTGGCCTCAGCCTATAAATCGCAACCTCGCGTTACGATTTGGCGGCAGCGTATTCTGCCAGTACCTCATTCAGTTTGCTTCTCAGGCAGCTGCTCGCCTTCGGCAATTTAACCAAGACACCTTCCGGGGCAGTCCCGATCAGGAAATCTACTGCCATCTTCGCCGCCCGTCTTCTCTCTCCTGCAAGTTGTGTGGCGCCCTGTCATGTCCCACTTCACATAGTCTCAGCCCAAAACGATTCAGCCCTCATGCCGTCCCTCTGTTCTCTCCCGCTTGACCCCAGCTCCCGTACCAGAACCTCTAAGCCCACAATCTCCACCCCAGCATGCCTTCGCCTCACGGTTCAGACAGGCGGGGCAGGCCCATCACGCACCTCGGAGGCCGCACCATTTGCCACGACTTCTATGAGTCCAGCTGTTCCTTGCCTCAATGCCGCTATATTCACTGCTGCTCCTTTTGTGGCGGCGGCCATTCCCGCCCCGAATGCCCCCTCAACCCCACCACCCTCCCCCCCATCCACATTCCAGCACTAGAAGTTGCCTCATTTAAAAAATAAATAAATAGGTGCTTCACCCCTTGATGGCTCCCAGTCATACCCCCTCCCACGTCACCACCAGCTCACGGATTATCCTCTCCGAGGTCAGTCTTCTCCGAACTCAGCGCTCCTTAGTCGGAAGAGAAAACGCGGGACCTTTAACATCCCCGGAGTTCCTCGGGATAACCCTCGACACTGAACGTTTCCAGGCTGTCCTGCCCATCAAAAAGCTCAATCGCATCACCCTTGTCCTCCAAAACTTCCTCCTCGCTCTCTCTTGCTTCAAACAACGGCTGCTCTTCCCGTTGGGACGCTTAAACTTAACCCTCACTTGCTTTCACCCGCTACATCCAAACCAAAGCCACTCCTCGACTCCGCCATGCTGCATAGCTCTCCCAGGGCCGAATCGCGTCTCTGGCAACTTCTGCTCGTTAACTAGAACGGCATCGCCTTCTTCTCCAACGATCAGCTGCCCCACCCCGACGACGTCCTGCTCTTCACAGATGCCGCCCCTTCTGCCGGCTTTGGGGGCTACTACGGCCGAAGACATTCAGAGCCTTGGCGCCCTACACAGAGGCAGCTCCGACCCCAGGTCCTCCATTTTCAGCCACGTCTTTTGAGATCTAAACCCCAGCATCGCAGAACTCATCAGCATCTCCCAGAGAGCGATCATAAAATAGCCTTGCAGCAAGCACATTGTTCTCCTATTGGACCGCTCGGAACACGTTCTATTCATCACATCACAACTTCAACCTGCCCTTTCCGTCACTTGACATCGCAACAGTATCCAGCTTCATATCTCATGAGCATCAAAATTCCCTCCATAAAGACGTACTTCAGCGGCATCAATCCCAACTTCAGATCTACAACATCGCTGCATCTCTACCCTCCAGCTGAAGCATAGCAATTACTTCCTGGCGTGCACACTGGAGGCCACGTTCCTACTCGCCTTCTTTGGCGTACGCTGTTCCGAATTTTAACTCCTCATCCTCAAAGTTCCATCCGACTCTTCACCCATGCATGAGTGTCATCCACCCAGCCTCCGAAGACCGCTTTATTTTCATCCTCAAACGAAGCAAACCAATCAATCGGGCAGCACCACGCCTACATACTACTTCAAAATAAGACCCTCCGAATCACTAACCCTTTACCTCGACCTCAGAAAATCTCAGCACACCTTACCTTCAGATCCTCTGTTCATCACCGAATCTGGCCACGCCCCAATCAGGACATGGCTCCTCTCAAACTTTCGCCAAGCGCCCTCGTCTTCCGGGATTCCTCCAAATCACTTCCCTGGCCTTCCCTTCCTCACCGGCGTTGCGACTTCTGCCTCCCGCAAAGGAATCCCTGACCACTTAATCGAGCTCCTGGGTCGATGGTCATCACAAGCCTACCTGGTATACATTCACAACATTCTCCAAAACCTCTGTTATGCCCAGTCTTTGCTCCTGCAGGGGATGCTGTCTTTGGGGGTTCTGCCCGGCCCGAGAGCCGTTTCCAGTCCCCTTCAAGGCCTTCCCCAAACCACAGCACTAATCACACTTCCTCATCCCTCGTTGCTCATCGTTGCCAAGGGAGTGGTCCCTGCTAGTGAAATTCAGAAAACAGAGGTAAAGCACTGACAATGCAAAATATGTTTGCAAGAGGGCAAGGAAAGGACCGGCTGATGAAACCTATGGCTGATGTAGGTAGACAGCATTTACATAAGGTCCATTTCAATTAGTGTCTCTAACATCTGAGTTTGTGTGATACAAAGATAATCTTGTTGGTTTCTTTTCCTATGAATTAAACATATACGCAGCGTTTGATCCACCATGTTTTGCCTGAAACTGTCACTGTGGACCAAAAATTTAAGAGCAAGAACAAATCCTTTGGTTTGCACTTGTCTTGTACACTCTCAGGCAAAAGGAAAAAGAAACCACAAAGAAAAAATAACAAGCAGGCTCGTGTATATTTGAAGATGGAGACATGAGGAATCACAGCAACAGCAGAACACTCTTTAACAGCGTTTAGGCCCATTGACCTTATTAGCTCTGACATTGCACCACGCGTGGTTTGCAGCTTGTAAGACTATTGGTGTCCGACCCACAACAAGAAAACATGTGATTTTATTCTTATAGCCTTTTAACATTGTTGGTCTTTAATTGTAATATTTGAGAGCAGCAATAACATATTTATTTCACACAGTGTTTTATCAAAGAACCTCCAAACATCCCAGAGCACAACTGACAGATGACGTTATTTTTGGCATAAAAACCAAGGTGTATCAACAACATGCATGTTTGTTCGTGTAATTCTTGTTTATATATTAAACACACACACAGA